TACTAAGTAACAAGTTTTATAAAAGAAATACAATAATAAGTACCTATTTTCAATAAACTAGAGGAATTTATTTATTTACTTGGACGTTAAAGTATTAATAAAAAAAAAGAAACAGACGCTCTATTAGTTTCTGTTGTAATGTCAGTCTATTAGTAAGCGATTTTTTCTGTGTGGAATAATATTTTCGTTTTTAAAGTCGCCACAACCAGCTTCAACTAATTTGCTTCCGATATCTTGACCTCTATCATCAAAAAGTAAAACTTCCAAATGACCAATGCTTTCTCTAGAAAATGATTACTTTTAAAAAAGTATCTAAACCAAAAAGAGGATCTTTATCAGATAAAATGCATTTGATCTCAAAATGAGGTGAAGTTATTTATCTTCAAAGTGATGCATTCACTTTATTCAATAAAAATCCCTTTTTGGGGCACTTTTTACAATTTCATTCTTTTAAGTCCTTTCGATTAATTTAATTTATTTAATAAATATCGTTAGCAAACAAAAATAAATTAAGTAACTTACATTATTCGTGCCATAACATTCTGAAACAGGTAACGCTCTTCAAAATATTTTTTTTCTGTGTTGACATCTTCACTTTCACGATGCTTTATGTTGTAAAAATGGGCTTCAACTGCCTGGAAATACATAAAAAAATATGTATACAAATAGTTTTACTACCCTACGTATTGAACTTAATAACAATTCGGAAAATCTACCTTATATTAAATTACAAAATTATTAGAAAAGGGTGCGGAACAACCAGTCACACAATTATATTATCTATATTTAAACGGGCAAACTTCAGTTTTAATTAAACATTGCAAATTCTTACCTGAAAAGGCAAATCCAGGAATTCTGGCAAGATTTTCCTAACATCTTTTAAATCAACGTGAAGGACTTCTCCAAAATCCACAACGAATACCTTTAAATAAAACAATATTTTTTTATGAAAAATACCAAAAGGAAAAATAAAAAAAATTGTACTACTACCTGTAGAGAGCACATTCCTTTGTCATTTTGCAAAATTTCGCAAACTTTGGCTCTATACCAGTTACCATCCCATCTATGTTTCGCTATAACAATTTCACATAAAGAAGGCGGGTCTTTGAACATTTTGTAACTTTTTACGACATCGTGGTCATTCATATGCTTAATGAGACTATTCAATGTGAATTCTAGAAGCAATTAGAAATATTTATGAAAATAATAATACTTCATAATTTATCAATATTTCTACTCCATAACTAATAAAATAATATTCAAAAATATGCATTACGTTGTGTAGCTTCCACATCGGTATTTCGAATTAATTGAACATAGAATCTTTGTATATCTACCACTGACGTTATTCGAACTGTTATAGTGCTGTTAGGGATAGGCATCTCAATGTCATTAAAAGCCCTTATGTATACTGGTTCTTTATCAGCAGTAAAACCATCTGAAATTAAGTTTATAAATTAGTCACTTTTTTAATTTTAATGCATATATTAAACAAACTATTTAAACTTTTATTAAATTCACATACCTGCCGGTAACAGTGTGTGTCTTAATTTACACCTCTTGCCTTTAAAACAAGTTCCATCTCTATTTTGAAAAGCGCATGTCCTAGCCTCATCTTTGGGGTCGTATCCCATTACTGCTTCATTAACATTGCTATGTTCTTCAACTTTATCGTTTTTAAAATACACGTCAAGCATTTCGTCATTGGACATGTCTGAAGTAATTCCAGATAAACCTTAAAAAATAATAAAAAAAATAACAATTAAAGCCTTTAAGTTCCAACATGTTTGTAATTAAAATTATTTGTACCTTGCGCAGCTTTGATTTGTTCCTTCATAAATGCATCTTTGCATACGAAATCTGGGTCCTTTTCAACTGGATCCTTTTCAAGTAATTCGACAGCATGACCCATGTCTATAAGGTACTGACCTAAACTTGTTTCTTCATTGTCCAATTTAACTAAATCTAAACCGATTGAGTGGCTAAAACAATTTTACAAACCTTAAATTAAAATCAAATAAATAATAAACATAAGTTTTCAAAGTATTTGATAAGGTTCAAATTCCCGTTTTTTATTTTATTATTACTGACCGGGATTCCTCCATTTTGATTATGTATATTTGAAAAACTGTATTTTCAATATCTCCAATCATGTTATTCACAACTTTTGTGGTTTCTTGAGGCCAAAATGATAACCTGTTGTCATACGTAGATCCAACTGGGTACAACTTTATATTGAAAACCAAATATTAGCGAAATCGATTTCTAAAGACAGCTACGGATACTTACACTTTCTAAATGACACCTTTGAGCAATTTTTGGCAAATTATAAAAAAATTCTTCCAAAACTCGAAGTTTATCTACGGAAGTAGTTTCAACACTACCACAATCCACTAATTTTACTATCACGTTCATCTTTTCTTTCTGTGAATTATAAAAAGTCAAGTAAAAAATGAATACAGGTAGTTATTATAAAACGATATTGCATACCTCTAGCCAGTTTACGATTTCAGCACGAAAATACCTATCATATTCTTCAATATAACATGCACAATATTTTACTATGTTTTGTTGAGCCTGTTCTTTGGTTGAAAAAGTTTTGCATGTTGTTGTGTTGTAGCATAAGTTTAATTTCTTTTCCATCCTGTAAAATATAACTGTATATACATTTCTATTATTGATAAACAACTCTGTGTTGAAACACGCACTCATCAAAATTTGCAGCATCTTCGTCACCTACTTGTATGTAAAAATGAGAAGGTGATATAAAATGAGTAATCATACAGTAGTCTCCTACTTTGGGTGGTTTTGGTTCCTCTAGAACTGATTTGAAAACAAAAAAGTATTAATTATAGAATACACATTTTTACAAAAGTTGAGTTACAAAATAATAACTCGAGTGTTTTAAAAATTAAATAAAAAATCTGCCACATTGCAAAGATCTTTTAAATTCACCTTTATTTTTATCAGATTGGTTTTGACTAAGGCACATTTCAGACAGCTGTTTATCACTTAAAATAACATAACTATCTGATTTAGAGTTAATTATTTTCTTTGATTTTGAAAGGATATCATCTTGTATTCGCTGCACAGTTGGCTCATATTTAATGTCATTTTTCAATGCCTTATCGATTTCTCTAAAACTATGTTGTTTATTAGGATTTGAGGGAGTGGAGTGTAGTGGCTTTACATCAAGTTCTTCTACTTTTATGGGCTTCACAAAAACACTTGCACAACTGTCATTTAATTTTTTACTGTACGTGTTTAACGAACTGTTGGACTTCTTTTTGGTTTTAATACTTTGTGTCTTATTACTTGAACAAGAATTTTCTTCATATTGTTTTAAATCGCAAACATTTTCTAAGGAAATATCAAACGAGGATGACTGCGAGTTTTCTGATATTTCAATATTTGGCAAAGATGTTGTTACCCTGCTAGCAGATATGTCAACCAATTCTTGATTTTTTGATGTCATATTATTAATGCTGGAGATTATATTATCTGTTAAAACTTCTTCCATATCTTTTACGCCTTCTTTATGAAGATCATCAGTAACTGAGTTAACAGTTATCAAACCTTCTTTAATTTTCTCAGTTTCGCAATGATCACCTGAGTAGTTTAAGTTTTGAGCTTTCTGCTTAACTTCATTCACATACTGTTTAACAGTTTCAATAGACAATGAATCAGGTTGGAAATTCATCACATTATATACTTCATACTGTCTATTTGCATTTCTAGGAAGCCCCCTGGAGTTATTCTTGCACTCCAAATGATAATCTGACAGTGATGAACGAGGTTCAACATTTATATGGGAGTTTGAACTACTGGAGTGTTTTGTGTTGTCACAATCTTTCTCTAAAGGACCTATCAACTTGCATCTACAAGATGCACAAAGTGAAGAACTGTATGTAATATAGTCGTCTTCGTTTGCTTCTGATTTTATAGGATCTTTGATAGAATTATAAAACGCCTCCAAATCTAGATTTATGGACAATAACTTGTGATGCACTGAATTATGAAAACAATTTTCACCCAGTAAATATTTCGGATGATTTACTATCCAATTTTCGTCCCTTTCTTCTATACGTTTCACTGATTCACACATCTGCAAAGGCGGAAGGTATTGTTTAATTTAAAAATAAGTAAATAGACATACCAATTCGTAAAGATTGTCGAGAAGCTTAACAGTTCTATCACATTCTGTTTTACATTTGCTCAAATTCATCTGGAATTCAGTTTTTCTGCTCATTTTGATGGATATCTGCCACAACACAACAAGAATCTATGTAAACAAAAAAATTGGGTTGAGGTTATACCCTTTGTATATCTATTATCTATGGTTTGCAGAAAAGAGAGGTTATTTGTTTCTCATTCGCGTATACGAGGTGATTTATAATTGAAGGCAACGCAGATTGAAAATTTAAAATGCGTAGATTATACCAATAAGAATAACAAATACATTCTAATTACATTTACACCGTTTGTTATCTATTTGAGTGATATACGTGGATTAATTTTTGAATATTTGTGATTTCTTAACTTTCTTTGGACTTCGTGTAACCACCCTGTATTTAAAAAGTGTAACAATGCATTTCAAGCATGCGCAATTTAGAGTGCTATTTCCTTATCTATGGTCAATTCCAGTGTTACTGTCAGTGATATCTGTTATTTTTTATATTCTTTATTTGTTTGTTTACTGTGGTGAGCAGAACAGAGCAGAAGAAGAATTTTAGCTTAAAACGTTTATAATTTGCAATTACATAAAAATGGAAGAACAAGTAAAAAATGCACCAAAAATAAACGAATCCGATGATTACAAAGCTATAATAGACAATGTACTTTCACAAGCTGAAGACCTGTTTACAACAGAAGGTGTGAATAAGAATGTTGTGGAACAGTTACGAAAAATATGGCTTTCAAAATTCGAGAATGTTAAACCTGTTCAAGGGCAACAACAGTCTTCAGGATGCTCACTTGATGGTTCTCTAACACATTCTTTTCAAAATAATCTGACCCTAAACCAAGCAGTGCCACTTCAACTAGATGGGGCTCTGGACTCATCAGATGATGAGAATGGGGCGTCAAGCGACGATGGAGTTTCAGAAGATAATGACGAAGACAAAGACCCAGATGATCATGATATGGACGATGGAGGTCCGGAAGAAGAACCTTTGGGTTCAGAAGATGATATTACTGATGAAGAAGATCCATCAGATTTATTTGACACTGATAATGTTATAGTCTGCCAGTATGAAAAGATAACTAGAATACGAAATAAATGGAAGTTTCATCTTAAATATGGAATCATGAATCTAAACGGTGAGGATTATGTATTTCAAAAAGCTGATGGAGATGCTGAATGGTAATTGGGTAATTGTTTATCATATCATTCACTGTTATATGTAGAGTCTCAAGTTTGGTATTTATATCTCCACTATTCTTGTTGAGATCTTTTGTCTATACAAATACAATTCAATACTAAAAATGCCAAGTTTCTAAATTTGTACCTCTAGAAACCTAGATAAATAATTAGATGTTAGTTTTTCACATTTTATACATACAAGAAATTGTTTATTAGTTTCTAAGGTAATAGATACTTTAATTTTTCTTTTAAAAAGTTTCGTACTTTTGTTTATGAATTATAATTTTTTATATATTCATATGTAGCTTTAAATCAAAATAATTTTTAATTATTAAATGAGTTATATAGACAGTTAGTTTTTATGTATTTTTGGGACTTCACAGTGATTAAAAGGCAACACATTTTGATAACAATTATATATTATCATATCCGTAAAAAACAAGACAAATAAAAACATTTACAGAGTATTAATGTAAAATATTTTCATCAAACAGTCTAGAATATATTTTTGGTCAGATGAAAAACTTTCGCATTTTTTTGCTAATTTTTTTAAATGTTCTAAAGCTGTCATAAGTACAGCAGATTTTTCGGGGATAACTCTGTCTGCAACATGACGCATTTGTTGTCCAAGGAGGTCACTATAAAAAGCGAAATTGTCTTCCATACTACTGAGATCTTCAGGGGTTAATAACGTTGTCATGTGTGCAACAGTTAAACAAATCTAAAATAATTTTAAAAAATATAAAATGATTGAAAACACATTAAAACATTCGGTTTCGATTCCAACAGTCCTGTAGATTACAGTGAAAAACTTACTTGTTCAACTAAGTGATCTCTGTGCTTGTACTCGCTAAAATCTTCCATGTTTTCTGCATTTTCCAAGGCCTTCAGTAAAGAAGTCCAAACTAAATTGAAATTATGACTATAAAATGTTCTTTTTAGTGGACAAGATAATGCGTAGCCTGCATTTATCCGAACTTTAAAATTGCGATAGCTGATCACCAGAAAAGAAAGCGATGAAAATACTGAATTCTGTAAAATTTTATCATTTAATTACTTTTTCCCAGCATATAAATGTATCAAATAATTTACCTGCCAATTTGCGCCTTCGAAATACAAATTTTCGTTCTTTAAAGCATTTCCAAGAGCATAACAGGCATTCCACCGAACCTAAGTAATTTAAACGTTAATCATTATTACATCAACACAATAGTACTTTTAAAGAGCACTGCATTAAAACATGCCTAAAGTCAGAAGCTACAGATATACCACGTCTTAAACAAAAAGAAAGTAGGAAACACTGGATAACAAATGAGATCATAGAATTAATAGAAAAGAGGCGGAAATACAAATTGTTCTCAAAAGTGAATTTCGACCACTCGAAGCAATGGTGCGATGACAAGAATATAAATAAAAAGACTAGAATAAAAGGAACTTTAGAGAAGTAGGGTATAGTAGTAGTAATAATATAAGAAACGAGGTAGGGGTCATTCTGATAGAAAATGAGGAAAAGGCAGATAGGTGGAAAGAATATTTAGAGAACCTATACACGCAGGTCATGAGTTAAGACATATATTAGACAAGAAAGATAGTGTGGAGATAGGTGAGCTAGATTATCCCATAATGAGAGAAGAGATAGCATTAAAAAAATTAAAGAATAAGGCGCCAGGTAGACATTTACGAAACGGGGAAAGTCCCGGAGGATTATAATCGGAACGTAGCACTTTTAACATTGTGCTACATTTACATACTTTAGCATGTGATCCTGTAGTGGCACATTTAACTAAAACGTTAAAGGCTGCTTCTAGACATTGCCAAACGTTTTTATTCGTCTCTAGAAGATCTCTGTGAACTAATTGTAGGAGGTTTCCCAGAGCTCGAACGGTGTTCATTTTAATTTTATCATTTTGATCTGATGCTGCTATTGTTACTTGTAATAATTTAATCAAAAGATTTGTGGGGATTTCTTCACCGTTTACTTCGGACCTAAAAATGAGTTTCATTGTCTTCCTTCAAGTTTCTTTTTAAGATTTTTAAAGTAATACGAGGGTGGATTGATAAGTTTCCGGCCTGACCAAGAAAAACAAGGTTTTTAAAAATTTTTTTTTTTTATTTCTCAACATAATCTCCTCCAAGGCTGATACATTTCTCATAGCGGTGTTCCAGTCTATTAATGCCATCTCTATAGACTGATTCGTCAAGCTCCTCAAAATAACCATTTACAGCTTCGATTACTTCTTCATTGTCCGCAAATCTCTTACCGCCAAGCCATTTTTTGAGATTAGGGAACAGAAAATAGTCACTCGGGGCTAGGTCTGGAGAGTAAGGAGGGTGCGGCATCAATTCAAACTTTAGATCGTTGATTTTAGCCGTCGCAACGATTGACGTGTGCGCTGGTGCGTTATCGTGATGAAACAAGATTTTTTTCTTCGCCAGATGAGGTCGTTTAATTTTCACCTCGTGGCTCAAACGTTGCAATAAGTCTGCGTAGTATTGACCAGTGATAGTATTACCCTTTGCAAGGTAATCAATGTATATAATACCTCTTGCATCCCAAAAAACAGTAGCCATAACCTTGTTCGCCGAAAAAATTGTTTTTGCCTTCTTTGGAGTTGGTTCCCCTGGTCCAATCCACTGTTTAGACTGTTCTTTGGTTTCAGGAGTGTAGTGGTGGACCCACGTTTCGTCAACGGTTACGAATCGACGCAAAAATTCGCTTGGATTACGCTTATACAATGACAAATTTGCGGTAGAAATGTTTTTTCGAATCAATTTTTGGTCGACTGTTAGCAAACGCGGCACCCATCTTGCACAGAGCTTTTCCATATGCAAATGTTGGTGCAAAATATGTTGCACACGTTCATATGACATCTTACAGGTCTCAGCTATCTCACGCACTTTCAATCTGCGGTCTCCCAGCACTATTTGATGAATTTTTTCGATCATATCTGGAGTTGTGACCTCAACGGGGCGTCCTGAGCGAGGCCCATCAGAGGTGCTCACACGACCCTTTTTAAACTCGGAAACCCACTGCTTAACGGTTGAATATGACGGGGAGGATGTCCCCAGTGTTGAGTCCATCTCTTTTTTAATTTCCTTCGGCGTTAACCCCTTCAAATAAAAGTATTTGATGACAGCACGATTTTCCTGCTTTTCCATTTTTACGAAAACCACAGAGGCGTCTTGTTCAGCGTGCTGTCAAACCTACACTAGCAAGGAGATCGGGCTGAAACTATAGCTACAAGCTATCCAAGGATGGTACTATAGAATGTCACCTCAAGGTAGGCCTAGTGGCGTCATCTCTTGGTTAGGCCGGAAACTTATCAATCCACCCTCGTATATAACAAACCAAATCAAGATAAATTTTGGATTAAAAGTCTTTATGAAGTTATGTAAAATATGTAGCTACCTATTTGCTGTCAAACTGTCACTAAGATTTCCTAAAGACCACGCTGATTTAATTTTAACTGCACTATTGTTATCTTGCAATGTCGAATATACTGTTTCTGCGACATCAACAACAAAACCTATGTCCTATAAAATAATATAAATTAAATCGTTATCCAAAATAGTATATTTTTACCAATTCCTTACTTCTCTTAATGACGGATACTGCACACATATGCCTAAAGCCCTTACAGACGAAGCCTTAACAATATTTTCTAAATCACGACTGCAAGCAAATAGTAAAGTAACCGTAAGAATTTGTTTGTCCCTCTAAAAAAAAATAGGGTCAGTTAAACTTACGGTGAATATCGGAAATATATCCCTTAGAAAACAGACTTACTGGCAGACATTCAAAAATATGGGACCCTATGCTCCCCAAACAGTCACAACCAACTGCCCTGAGAGGAGGGTTATTTTCGTCCTGAATGAGACCAATCAAAGGACCGTTCAAAAGCAAAGTCCAAAACTCTAATCCTTTTTCAAGAGGTAATGTTTGATCAGGATCTATTAAAATTGAAAATATTTTATAGACTTTAAATAAACGGATAATAGTAAGATTAATAAGGTATGACCTTTGCTATTAAAGTATGACGACATTCTTTGTCCAATAAAATCGACAGTTCTGCCTGCATGTAGGTGTATATGAATTCCTTGACTTTTGTCGTTCAAAGATGCTACCAAAGCCTCGGTAATCAAACTGAAATGGGGCGCCATTAGAGACTGAAAATAATTTCGTGTCATGGACGAAATTACTTGAAGTGATTCCAATTTTACTGGAACAGCAACAGCCTAAAAGTACAAAACGTCAAAGCATTACATAATAAAAGACTCATCTAGTTTCAAATTTAAAAAATACGAGCAAGTGAAAGTAGGACTAGACTTGAGTGCTAAAAACTTAGTTGTATGAATTTTGTGGGGGTACTCGCATCGGAAATCGGTTTATGTTATATGAAAGAGCCTTTAAATTAAGTTTGTTAAGGTAGTAATAATTCCATACAGAATTATAAATTATCTACTTTTGGATTTTTTCTTTATACCTTTTTAATGCATAAAAACTAGAACATTTTAGAAGACTGTAAGTCCGTATTTGATATTAACTTCAACTTGATATATCTTCGAGATACAAAAATATATACTTTATACCTGTTGACTTTCTTCACCATTAATTCCTAAATTGTTGAGGCACACTTGTAGCAACCAAGAAATGTCTTTTTTACACCCGGAACACTCCAAATCTTTTCCTATTACACAACTCTCTTCATCAGAAGAAAAGTTGACATATTCAAAATCATCATCTGAATAAGTTTCTTTCTCTTGTTTTTGACTTTTATCTGTTTTCGGCTGTTTGACCGAATATTTAAACGTCTGTTTGAGAAAAGCCTGTTTCGTTTCTGGAACTACTGGTTCAGACGCAAGAGCACACCCCAAAACGATCAAACTTGCAACTTGCACTGTAGCATCTTAAATATACAGTACTCTTAAATTAATTATCTTTTTAATCGAAGCACTACCGAGAAAAATTACTATTTATTAACATATGTTATACTAGATTAACATTAGATTAAAAAACTGTATCAATAATTGTTCAATTATTTACCTTTGTGCTTGATGAACACTTTAACGTTACGTATGACTTTGCTTAAAAGTCCAGGCTTAAGTCTATTGTAAGGGGTGCTTTGAATAAGGACTGAAAGACACTTAAGGCATTGTATAAGAACCTGTACTGAATTCTCGTTTAGGGCCAGGCACAGGCATTTGTGTAATTCATAAATAGTTTCCCCCAACATTACAGAAAACGGGGTAAATGCCGAATATTTATCGCTAAATTTAAAAATTTATACAATTATTACTTCAACTGCAAAAAAGTTACACAAAAATAAACGCTAAAAGTTACCTCATTTCAGCTTGAGACAAATACATTTTCGAACTGGTTAACAACGCTAATAAAACATTTAGGGCCGCCATACGACCTCTTGGAGATGGTTCATGAAGAATACATGTTCTTAAGTTGTGTTTTGACAAAAGTGAGCCGCCTGGTATAAAGCTAGACCAAAATGGGAAAATTTTTGACTTCTCAGTTAACTAAAAAAAGATTTTTAAATTGTAAAAATCAAAGCTGACAAGGGACAAAAGGCCCTTTTTATTAATTAAAGTACATGAAGTCGTGGGTAATTTAATTAATAATAAAAAACATTCACCCCTTATGAACTACAATTAAAAAGTATCTCCTTTGATTGATGATGTTTTGAAATTGTTAAATTAACAAAAGTTTATATATTTATTTAATATGTTCATCCTTTACCTTAACTATGTTATAAAGAAGGGATAGGGCTGTTTGTCTCACTCTACCCTGAGTGATTTTTATTTTTGCAACTTTCCCTACTTCTGTGTCCGAAAAATCAGAATCACTAGCTTTCATTTTTAGAGAAGAACTAAAATTATTTATACAAATAAATACGAAAATGTAACAAAAGTAATATAAAAACCTTTGAGTGTTGTTTTCATCTGAAAAATTTGAGACTGGAACGTAAGAACTGGCATTATGAAATTCACCCCCCAATTCAGAGTCAGATTCAGATGTTCTTTTATCTTTTCTATTTTTAGCTGCTCTATGTTTCCTTTGCTTGGTGATCTGAAATAAATTATTAGGGTGTACAACAGTGCTTGAAATAACAACTGGTGTTATTTCAAATGTGTTTAAATAGATCATTACCTTCCCACCTTTTTTATCCCTTGACGTTGAAGTAACTGGCTCAGCAAGGGCAAAAGTTGAAGGAGTAATGTGTTGGGGAATTACAAAATCAACATTATTTATACAATAAACCATGTAACTTTTAGAAATACCTAAAAGAAGGCCCAACTTTTCTTGCAAATAACTTGAACTTTGTTGAATAACATTTTCTAATCCTTTCAAACAACAAATTAATATCTAAAATATATGAAGAACATCCATTAAAAAATAATGCATAGAAATTTGGAATAAAAAATTACTTTGCAAAAAATTAAATCATCATAGTTCTGGGGTTTAATATCAGTCAAAAATTTTTCAAATATGTTTGCGCATATTGTATACTCTTTCTGGTATTCGTTGCTGCCATTCTTTCTCACTTTTTCATCATCTTCACAATTAGTGCACGTTTCCAATATTTGCAGGGCACCTAGAATAACTTCAGAATTTTTGTTGTCCAGAATTTGTAACAAGGGTCCATTTTTAATAACAATTTCTGGCAATAACTAGAACATATTTAAAAGAATACTTGCACCAAATTTTAATTAACTAATTAAATACTAACACAATCTAAACTCTTTCTACTTGATTTCAATACTGTATCTAAGGTACTGAGGAGATCCAAAAATAAATGGTCAGAGGCATTTCTTAATGCTTGCAACATCCAACGAACTGTTATAACTAACGTTTGACCTTCTAATATAATATTTTGATGATTAATTAGGTTTAAAATTAATTTACAACATTTCGCAACCAAAATGTTGTCGTCTGGTAGAATAAGTGTACAACACTGATGGACTAATAAAACTGCTTTCTGAAAAATAAAGAATTTGATAAAGGTGACAACTCAAATTATGAGAATTGTCATTACCGATGCATTAGTAACAACTGGTTTTTCAAAATCTAAGATGTTAATTTCATCCAAAATTGTACATATGTATTTATGATCTCCTTTAATCCGACTCAAAGTTAATTGAGATAATTTGCCACTTAAAACATCAAAGGTGTGCTGATAGTCTTTGGCCATTTCGACGTCCCTTTAAAATACCCGAAATGTAAAATACTTAAAGTGTAACGAGTGTGCTGATAAAGTTAAGGGTTCTTGTTTCGTTTTCCAATAAACTGTATCTAAAATGTATAAAATAATGCAACTAATAGTCCTCTTCAAAACACTTACTGTATTACGCTAAATTAACAACTCATAGGTTATGTACGATTTTTAACTTTTGACATTTGAAGGACGACGATACATTTAACATAAGTGTAATGTTGGTTACATACGTATTTTTAAAGATATCACAAAAATAAATATTTTATTAAACGCCTTTGAATAAATGTTTTAAGAAACATAAATATTGTATTTAGCAGACATTGGGCAATTGATATGTTAATTACTTAACGCAAAAAGCAAATATTACCGATGTTCATTCTAAATGATATTCAATATTCAAAATGCAGAAATTATTTAAGTTTATTAATTAGTAATTAAAATGACTACAATTTTGGATCTATTCACATCTAAATAAGCAATAATTAACGAATGTTTAACTAATTGCTTTATAATGTGCCTATAATGTTCGTGCGTATGCAAGCAGATGTTCTCACATTCGCAAATACAATAAACAGCTGTTTCCGGAAACATCCGAACATATTCGTTTCGTGTGTATCCAATCAGCGTCAGAGCAGTGATCCGTACACGAAGTGTCACTCGAAATTCTGGGCAACAGTGTTGTTTGAGCAGGGTAGTTGTCTGTATTGTTGTGTCGTTTTTGCCTGCTTTGTACTAATTTTTAAATGACAACTTATTATGTGACAATTTTGCCGTGGTCGCGTAACAACAATGAACTCGTAAGTGCGTTAAAAACGTAGTAGGGTGTTGTGCCGGTGTTATTCATTTGTTGGTATGTGCATGTAAAAGGGCCCGAGGAGGAGCAAAATGGCGGACTTGGAGGCAGTGCTGGCCGATGTCAGCTATCTGATGGCCATGGAAAAGAGTAAATGTACCCCAGCGGCAAGGGCCAGCAAAAAAATTATACTACCAGACCCCAGGTGAGTTTCGAGGGGTCATTCACCCCTGACACGAACCCCGCAGCTATTTAAAAGAACCGTGTTTGATAGCGGTATTAGGAAGTTTATTTTGCTTGTTCTCGAATTAGGATATTTTCATATTGTAAACATGTAAACAGACGAATTTTCCTCATTCCTTACTAATGCCGTGATCTATAAAAATATGCAATGTGTACTTTGACGTGTTTCGAAAGTACATTTACCAGAATTTACTGTACACGAGGGAACGTGATTAGATGAATGAATGAACGAACGAACGAACGGTTTAGTATTTAGCCTGATAAATAAAAGCTGCTAAATAATTTGTTTATTGAACTGATTTGCATCGTGTTGATGCACGTTTGTCGTAAGTTACACCTGTCAATGACACAGTTTCAATGTTTATAAATTTTTATTACGGTTGTAAGTCGGCCGTTTTGGTAAACCGTTAATTACATACTTAAATCGTTATTTTCATAGGTATTAAATGAGTCTTATAGCTATTAATATGTATTATACTCTTATTCAGACATTTGACGAAAATTACAGTCCTGGTTTTAGGTATATATTCAATTCAGGTACCCACCTACCCATAATAACATTAATAAATCCCGGAAACAAATGGTTTTTTAATTAAAATCGTTTATGTGAGTTTATATTGACGTACCTACCTATCTGGTTTCTTATCCATTGATTTGTGATTAAATGCGATGATTGACTCCAAGTGTTCTGTTGTTTATATTAATTTTTATTTTTATCAAGGTATTAACGGTTTTCGTTTTAAATTAAGTAGGTATTATTTAGTTTTAAATTTAGAAGTTTTAAAGAAGATCTGATATCTATTTCAACCCATTGTTAGTAATAGGTAGTAGTTTTCAGGAATAGTCAGGCACTGTATTTAAATTTGATCCTTACGTAATTTTAGATTCCACGCCCTAATGAATAATTAAATGCTCCTAACACTTTAATCAGTACATGCCTGAAATAGTAATTTTCCCTATTTAAGCCTGTTTTTGACCCCTTTTTATGCCAATATATTGTCCGAGGCATAAAATCGTTTACTTACCCACTGGAAAAGTAATAAGGGTATTTAAATCGTAACTCATCTGTTTCAAAAACATTTAATGAGCATTTAATTACTGGGTGACCAAAAATGCTATTTTCATTTATATATATGTCCTGTTCACTTAATCTTAAACAGTAATGTTTAAAAGCCCACAGCATTTAATTTCTCATTAGGGCATTTAATTAGCATTTAATTGCCCGCGTCATTTTTTTATTCTAATGGTCCCTTCCAATGTAATGGACGACTTGCCAAGACACTTGATTGTTCTCTACTTACAGTTAGCGCCCTAATAAAAAATTAAATACTCAGGCATTTAATGAGCTTTTAATTAATACCTGGCTGAAATAGTGATTTCCTTGTTTAACCCGCTTTTGGTTTCCTTTTATGTCAACACATTACTCAAGTCGTGAAGTCATATCATTGCTAGAAAAATACCATAAGCATTTAAAACGTAACTGGTCTGTTTGGAAAGCATTTAATGAACAATTAATTACTGGGTGGCCAAAAAACTGATCTCGTTTATTCAAAATTTTCTCTCGTTATGAACTTAAAAAGTCCATAGCATTTATTTTTTCATTAGAGCACTTAATTAGCATTTAATGTGCATTTAATTAGTGGGTGACCAAAAACTGTTTTCATTTAAACAATTTTTTCGCTAGTTATTAACATAAAAAGTCCGTAGCATTTATTTTTTCATTAGAGCACTTAATTAGCATTTAACAAGTAGTTAATTGTCTATATGTGTCTTTTTTGATTCTGCTGATTTTGTTCTTCTTACGTAATGGGTGGATATACCTAAATAGGCCTTTCTGTAACAGACGATTACCCTGTACAATTAAGTGTTATGTAACTCTGCACATTGCGTTTTTTAACTACCGAGAAATTTAAAAATAACTTCTACTTTTGTTTTCTTTCTTTTCAATTATAATGAATATGTATGTAATTAATGTTCTCGATGAAAAAATGGTCTCGTGGTTCAAGTCGATTTTTGGCCAATTAAATGGATACATTTTTTTTTAATTTTTACGTCGACTGTAGGATGATAACAGTACAGCCTTTGTTATCTTTTTTTCACCTTATTTCCTAATTGGTGCTGCATTTTTTTGGGCGATATTTTTCTTGTGATGATGTAGATTTGTAAATAAAAATACGCGATGTCATCTAATGGGCAGCATTGACAATGACTCGGTTTTGACGTCAAACCATCGTCTTTAAAGGTTAGCCAGTCACAAAATAAGAATAGAAAATTAACATAATCAACAGCCGCTATCTTGAATTGATCAAGAATTTAAAAATAGCACTTCAGAAGCAGGTAGCACCTCACCTGTGTACTCATTATTAGCCACAGTTCCAAGCATTTCTGTTCAAAATGTTTTTGAGTAATTATACCGGTTGCTGCGATTCTAAAGCAAATTGAAAAATTCGTCATAAAAAAAATTAAATAGACAATCACGATAGCACACAGAAGTAATTAATTCAGTTAAATTAATTTTATTCACTACAGATAGTATAAAAAATTTTGCTACTGCCGCCGGGAATCGAACCTGTACTCTCAGGCACGTACCGTCCGTGTTTCTACTCGTAGCTAAATGGTAGAGTAGTAGTAAGTAAAACCAGAGGCCCAGGTTCGATTCCCGGCGAGGGCGTGACAGTAGCAACATTTTTTCTTCGTTAATTTAGGATTATCTGTAGCGGGAAAGTTAATTCAAAAAATTAATACACTATTGCATAAAAAAAATGATACAGGGACATATTCTGTTCAATGTTTAGTGTTATTTTTATTTAACGATAAAGTTATTATTTATAAATAATGGTTTCATTGTTTTTTCTTCGTAAAAAAGTAATTTTAATTTATTGAATTTATCTTATTAATGTTGGCAATACTTATGCAAATGTGAACCCTATGTCGGGTCGAGAAATGATTTATTTTATCTTTTTGCTAGTTATGACGCACTTGAAAGATTTAACGGAATTATTGTAATTTATCGCGTAATTTACTACCAATATGAATAAATATTAGTTTGTTGTAGAGGCGTATTTAAATCACTTTGTTATATTGTTTGCGTAAATTATATGTATATGAAAATATTGCTGAGGTTATGTGTACGAATTTTCCTGTACCACGTATTTTTTAGAAGAAGATGCTACCCTTTTTATGAATTAACGTAACTGAATATCATCCTTACGTCTAGTTTTCAACTTGCTACTAATGAATAGTTGGATTATTAAAAAAATTTCTAAATATTTTAATTATAAAACTTTAAACCTTCACAAAACGCATAATTAGGGAATGTTGTGATTCACAAAAGCATTTGTCGGTGCCATGAATGGGTCATGCAATCATTAGGCGGAGTTCCGTTACAAAACTGATTCATAAAATATTTTTTAAAGCTAGAATGGAATTTCCTATTCTGTATAATGACTTCTGTGTCTCGCAAATTAAAAAACCACAAACTTTTACTCATAGGGATGTATTGCAAAGCAAAAAAAGAATCGTCAACAGACACATGCTATATTTAAATAAAGAATCGGTACCCACATTTTTCTATGCCATTTTTTTTTGTGCTGTGCCAGCTTGTCGGCTGTCCAGTCGTTTTTCATTGGACAGTTCGAGGATAGATTGTCAGCAACATGGGTAAAAGTACCATCCCGATAAATCAGCTACTATTTCTAGCTCACGTTGTTTCGCCGGACAGTTTAAGAAAATTTAAGTGATAAAAATTGATAAAAGTACAACCTTTCAGCGACAAATCAGCTACAAATTGTAGCTCTTACAGAATTTTTCTACTTCATTTCTATTTCGTGTAGTATCAGTTTGTCAATTCTACAATTGTTTTCGCTGAACAAAAGGAGCATAGTCTAGCGACAAAATGGATAAAAATTCCATCTTTCAGCGACAAATCAGCTACAAATTGTAACTCTTACAGTATTTTTCTACTTCATTTCTATTTCGTGTAGTATTAGTTTGTTAATTCTACAATTGTTTTCGCTGGACAGTTGGAGAATAGTCTAGCGACAAAATTGATAAAAGTTGCATCTTTCAGCGACAAATCAGCTACAAATATTAGCTCTTACAGTATTTTTCAACTTCATTTTGCCCTCACAGTATTTTTCTACGCCTTTTCTCTTTGGTGTAGTGACAGCTGGCGGCTTTCCAGTCGTTTTTCACTGTATAGTTCTAGGATAGACTAATGGTAACATGGGTAAAGGTACCATTATTCAGTGACAAATTTGCTATAAATCATAATCCTTACAGTATGCTTCTATGCCACTTCTGGTTCGCCTGTATCAAGCTAGTGTTTCGGTTATTTTCAAGTAACTGGATGGAGCGACAAAGTTTTGGTTTGATATAAAATTAGCGTTCTGTAATGGGTGCCATGTTCCTTATTATATGGGGATTCCCGTAACGTTTTCAGTTTCAGTAACTCTCCTTATATTATCTTATAACTCCTCGTAGGTAACGAAAGCAAAGAATGAAGCGATTCTTTTATTCATTCTGTTAATAAAAATCAAAAGTGGAGTTTTCCCTACTAATTAATAATATTTGCAAATAGCCAAATAAATTATTATTAAACAGAAATAAAATTACGAGTGTACTTCAAGGGCCATTTTAATTCGATACAATATTTTTTATACAAAAAAGCTTTGCTTATTTTTATTGTTGAATAAGACATGTCTGATAAGATAATTTATTTTATGAATAGCGAGTCTTGTTTTATAAATCAGCAAGTAAGTACAATAAATTTTATTATTTTTTTAAATGATAAAATAAGACTGGGAGATCAACATCAAGACATTTTTTTGTGTAAGACATACTTTAATTTAAATTTCAAATTTAACTTTGCAATACATCTTGTGTATGTAAACCTAAAAATAAAATAAATTTGCGTTTAAATGCGTTTTGCATTTAAGTATTGTTTCCTTTGCTCTGATTGACTTGTTAAGAGTTATTTTTATCAACCCATTTGTACCTATCGGCCACGAATTAATTTTACTGTTAACTGTGATGACTTTTATGATCTGTAAAAGAATTGGAATTGTAGTTGCTATTACTCCGATTTTCTGAACCATAAAAATATGTAGGTGTAGTATGCCCTATGACATTAAAGTCGATTGTCAATAAACTCTAGATCATTTCGTAGATTTCGTCGCATTTCTTATTAAGTACTATTTGTTTATTGCTAGCGGTAGCCATACTTTATTTTAAAAATTACTATTTTCTGTAATTTTTGTTAAACTTCGCTCGTTTGCATATTTTAGCTCCCTTCGTTAGTGTTGTCTTTTCCTATAATAATAATCTTATGATCTTTAACAATTAAACAAATGCTTTCTTCTGCTAATATATTTAAAATTAAAGGGTAAACTAGTAAAAAATAAATAGGCATAAATTAAGAAGAAAAAAAGATGTACTATCCAGCGGGAATTGAGCCTGAGCTCGTCTACATGGCAGTCGAACATCTACACCTCTGCGCCATTAACAGTCACTGAAAGTTGTCCCACTAAGCAATGTGTAATGCTTCCGGTTTCCGACCAATGAACGACAATTTTATTAGTCGGTCGTATACGTGTAACTGTAAAGAAAGCCAAAATACACTCTAATTGCATTATCTCTATGTTTATTATGAAAGGTAACTCGTTAGTTAATTCAATGGTGGCGTATTTTTTCTATGACTTCCTGCCGGTAATAAGGAGTGATAATTTTCTTTTAATTAGAGCGAGACGCACCGTGGCGTAAAGCGAGTCGTGACTGGCTTTATGCCATGGTTATCTACAGCATCTGGTGCTGGAATTTGTCGTCAACAAATAATCAGGTTTATTCACTAACTAGCGCCATTTATCACTTGAAACAATGCCATGCAAATGGTAATTACATCAAATTTTGTAACTCCATCCAAGTCACTCCAAATTACGCTACTGAAAAATTATTTAAATACAAAATGCAAATCCTTTTTTGATTCGTTGTTTCAAATGTAAAATACAAAATATTGGAATTTCTCTGGACTAATAGTGGTGTTTGCACTATATCATCAACTGGGACGATTGAGTATGATTTATATTTTTCTGTTTGAAGTGATTGTCTATATTATAGTTTCTTCAATTCAACAACAAATAATTCTTCTATGTGCTTCCTTATTTGCCTATTTGGAAAAAAGGCACTGATGCCAAAATAGTTTGTTTACCGTGAAAGATCAGAGCCAAAAATAATTTTATTGATGTAAAATCAACATCAATCATTTTAAATCAAAATATTTCCAACCCCATTTTGTTTCTGGTCTTGGTAAGTCTAGATGATGGCCCCCACCCCCGAAGGGGGGGATCGAGTGTCGTCCACCACTCATCATCATCATCATAAGGTCGTCAGTCCTAAGACTGGTTGGACACGTACCTCCATTCTTTCCTATCCTGAGCTAAACCTCGCATTTCCCTAAAACTAGAACAGCCCACATCCTTAACTGTACCATAAAAAGTTCGTGGCGGTCTCACCCCCATAAAAAGTTATAGGAGTTCAAAGTTAATAAATATGCCAATTTTTATACATTTCTAGGCATGTAAATATTTATATAGTCATTCTTAAACAATATTCAAAGATAAAACTAATGGAAAAATACATAAAAATATTGAGAAAGTTATATATAACATTATTTAAATATCTTTATCAATAGGGTAGGTTAGGTTAGGTTATCGGGTTTTGTTCAAGTGACCACCCTCTTTCGATCCCCCACCTCCACCCGCTTGAAAATATTTTTTTTATTGAATTTTATTTAAATTATAGTGTATGAAAATTGTCAAAATAATCAACTTTCAACCCCCATAACGTTTTATGGGGGTGAGACCGCCGCAAATTTTTTATGGGGTTTTACTCAGGTGTCTACCCTCTTTCGACCCCTCCTACCCTCTTTCGATCCCCCCTACCCCCGCCCCCATCTAACTCCCATAACTTTTTATATGGGGGTGAGACCGCCACGAACTTTTTATGGTACAGTGGTGGGGGAGACCTCCTCCTTCGATCCCACCCACCCTTACCCCCTTCGGGGGTGGGGGCCATCATCTAGACATTTACCCTGATCTTTTACACATTGTAATAAGAGAAAGCAATGGAATCCATTGTCTCTTTAGCTATGGGTTCATCAAATAAGTGTTTTTCGAATCATTTTCTAAGAATTTTAGATTATACGCATTTATTAGCACACCACAATATCTTGTAGTTTTCAGTTTTACACAGCTGGTGTATATCAACTCGATATTGTTTTGCGGGCTGTTTTGTCGTAATTCGTAATTCTTTGCTAAAAGTACGATAAGTGATGATTTGGTAGGTGCCGATATCAATTTGAAACTTCAAAATTAAACCCGGAAAACAATATCGACCCAATATTTTGATTATCCATTTCCAATGTCTAGAATTTTTTGGGCTCTCTTCAGTTAAAGAATTAGAAGGCATTCCTGGAGTGTCTCTTTGACCCCTTCTTAGGCTTCTAATACCTTCAATGGCCATTGTTGGCAACTTTCATTCATCACTTTATATGATGTTTGATTGTGATACTAGCAAAACTTTTAACAAAAAAAATGTATTTTGCATTTTACAAATAGAAAATATGTTTGGAAAAGTGATTTAAATAAAATACAAAATGATTTCTCAAAAAAGTGTTCAATTGCAAGACAAAAATAGGTATTTTTTATTTTGTATTTGCATTTTAAATGCAGGTATTTCAAATAAATCACGTCTCTGGTTATGATAAATTTGTTTGATTTCAATTATTCATGTTCCAGGAAGCTTTTTCACCAGACAGGTTGGCTAACATTTTTTTTTTATTTGTTTCAGTGTGCGGAGTGTCATGCACAAATATTTGGAAAAGAAGAATGAGGTCAATTTCGATAAGATATTTCATCAGCAATTAGGTAAGCGATACATTTTCCTATGATAACGGCGATGATAAAATGATAAATATTCCCAGTATTACGTATATACGTATTTACTTGCGAAATTTTTGAGGATTTTTTATAAAAATTTAAATGACATATTTAAAGAAAATGTTAAAAATGTTATTGGTACGTAAAAATATGATTGAACTGCAGCGCATGAGATTGTTGTTGCTTTTAGTACGATGTGGCAGAAGTAGAAACTTCCTTGCTAGCCCACGCATGCGTACCTCTTTCTCAGTGGCAAGTTAATGCGATATTAAATAGGAATAGTATAATAAGTAAATTTTATTTAAGATGAAGGAATCTTTAGAAGAAGTGGCTGATGTTAGGTATCTAGGAAGTCAGATAAGTCAGGACTGAAAGAGTAGTAGAGATATAAAGCAGAGGATAGCGCAGGGTCGAGCTGCTTTAAATAAAAAGAAGTCACTTCTATGCTCGCGAACGATTAATTTATAAATTCATAAAAATTGTTAAAGGTGTATGTTTGAAGCGCGGCGCTGTACGGGTGCTAAACATGGACGGTGGGTGCGGCGGGAAAGAATAGGTTAGAAGCGTTCGAAATGTGGTGTTACAGGCGCATGATGATGATACCGTGAATAGAGATAGTTAGAAATGAAGAGGTATTAGAAAGAATAGGAAAACAGGGAAATCAATAAGAAATAAGCTAGATAGGTAGCTAGGTAGGACACCCTTTCTGGCATGAAGGTCTATTCAGAGACATTACAGGCAGAAACAGGAGTTAAGAGGAATAGAGATAGACCCACATTAGATTACACGATTCGCAAATAGTTAAGAATGTAGGTTATTCTAGTTTAAGGGAAATGCGAAGATTAGCTCAGGATAGGAAAGAGTGGAGGTGCCTGTCCAACCAGTCTTAGGACTGACGACTTTATAATGCTGATAAAGGAATGAAATTATAAAAATTTGATCAAAATCTGTACAGTAGTTTTTGCTTGATGCGTGCACATCAGTATGGTAGGATTCCAATTTAAAACAATTAATTATTTATTGTACCTATACGTATTGTCTATTGTCAAGAGAACAAGTCGTGCTGTTCAGTTGTATAATAATATATAAAATATCGTCAACAGAATACGTCAAGAATTCCTTTGCCGTTTACGCATTAAATGTACCCGATAAACTAGCAAAATACATTTAATGGGCTGATAAACCGATAAGAAATCACTACCGTTAATATATTATTCCGGGTTCGCTACGTCAGAGGTGTTATAAAGGTTTCCCTATTGAATAATTTGTACGTAACTAGCAACGTGTTTACGAAATTAAAAACAGTCTAAAAAATTTTGGAGTGACCGGAACAAATAATAATCCGATGGTGCCAGGTCTGGAGAATATGGTGGGTGTAGCATTGTATCTTATTCAAGCTGTAAAAGCTTTTGGCGAGTGACCAAACTTGTGTGAGGTCTCGCGTTGTCTTGGTGAAACACTACACCTTTCCTGTTGATTAGTTCTGACCTTTTCTGTTGAAGTGCATCATTCAGTTTATCCAGCTGATGACAGTAGACTTCCGAATTAATCGTTGTGTTATCCGGTAAAAGCTCAAAAAAAGACGATTCCTTTAAAATCCCACCAAACAGACAGCATTACCTTTTTTTGGAATCGCAGACGTCAATGCGGCGACACAGATTTCTCTCTGTGAGAACATGAGGAACCCATACATCGAGCTTCGAGGATAATCCCAGGCCTTTCAAGTGGTCATAAACTGTTGAATTTGATAAATTTAACCTCAATCCGATCTCACGTGTTGTTATTCGCCGGTTCACATCAACTAATGCCTTTATCGCGTCTTTATCAGCTTCAACCGGCCTTCCCGAACGTGGTGCATCTTCGACATCAAAATTGCCGGATCGAAATTTAGCGAACCAGTTCTGGCACTGGCGTACTGTCAACACACCTTCTCCATACACATCAGTCAATTTCTTTCTGGCTTGAACAGCATTTTTACCCTTTCTGTAGTAAAACAGTAAGATATGTCGAAAATGCTGCTTATCGCTCTCCATATTTAAAAGGGCACCAACCGAAAACTACTACGTAGAATTAATTGGAATTTTTCACACACAAGCCTTGCTATATTAGCTCTCAAAGCATATAAAAATTATACGGCTTAAATGTGAAGTTGGGTGCAAAAGAATTAAATTAAATCCTCTGTCGGGAAAAAAACGAAATGACTTTCCGATCAACCCGATATATATGTATATGTATATACAATGTACCTATAATATTTTTCGAACAGAATAACCTAAGTAGGTTCAGTTGCTTCTATCCCAATGTTGCCCTTTTGTGGAAGGACGTCGAACAATACCCGTACAACTTAAATTAAATTACAAATTATACCACTTTAGTGTGTAGGATAGCGCCCACTAACACTACTACATCTTTTACACATTGTAATAAGAGAAAGCAATGGAATCCATTGTCTCTTTAGCTATGGGTTCATCAAATAAGTGTTTTTCGAATCATTTTCTAAGAATTTTAGATTATACGCATTTATTAGCACACCACAATATCTTGTAGTTTTCAGTTTTACACAGCTGGTGTATATCAACTCGATATTGTTTTGCGGGCTGTTTTGTCGTAATTCGTAATTCTTTGCTAAAAGTACGATAAGTGATGATTTGGTAGGTGCCGATATCAATTTGAAACTTCAAAATTAAACCCGGAAAACAATATCGACCCAATATTTTGATTATCCATTTCCAATGTCTAGAATTTTTTGGGCTCTCTTCAGTTAAAGAATTAGAAGGCATTCCTGGAGTGTCTCTTTGACCCCTTCTTAGGCTTCTAATACCTTCAATGGCCATTGTTGGCAACTTTCATTCATCACTTTATATGATGTTTGATTGTGATACTAGCAAAACTTTTAACAAAAAAAATGTATTTTGCATTTTACAAATAGAAAATATGTTTGGAAAAGTGATTTAAATAAAATACAAAATGAGTAGATTGAGTATGATCTGTATTTTTCTGCTTGAAGTGATTGAGGTATAGTTTTTCTATCTTTGTGTTATGGTTTCTAAATAATTCTTCTATATGCTTCCGTATTTGTCTTTGTCACCCGTTTTAATTGGACAAAAAGACACTGATGCCAAAATAGTTTGTTTAGCGTGAAAGATCAGAGCCAAAATAGGGTTGCAAATAATTTTATTTATGTAAAATCAACATCAATCGTTTTATATCAAAATATTTACAACTCCATTTTGTTTCTGATCTTTTACACATTGTAATAAGAGAAGGAAATGGAATCCATAGTTTCGTTAGCTGGTGTATATCAATTCGATATTGTTTTGCGGGCTGTTTTGTCGTAATTCATAGAACTTTCATTCATCATTTTATATAGTTTGATCGATGATACTGGCAAAACTATTAACTACAAAAGTGAATTTAGCATTTTACAAATAGAAAATACGTTTGGAAAAGTGTTTTAAATAAAATACAAAATGCTATTCTCAAAAAAGTATTTAAATGCAAGATAAAAATAGGTACTTTTTAATTTGTATTTACATTTTAAATTACATCTCTGCATGCAACCAACTCTATGTACGTTTGAATTTAATGGTGATATGTCTTTAGAAAATATGCAACCAAATACACACCCAAATTTAAACCCGTCTTCTTTTTTCCATTTGTTGCCTATCAGCTCGATAACGTCAAAATTGACGATTATGATTAAACATACATACAATCTAGACATCTTTTCGAAGTGAATTAATTTTATTAGAAATATTATTATATATTTAAATGATAATTGCATGTACATATTAGAATGTCTTTATATGTTCGGTGCTCACAAGTCGCCACTAGTGTATAAACAAATGCATGTATGTAAATATTCAATTTTACGAACGAAGATGATAAAGTTATTGAATTTGTACGCGAATCCGCTGTAAATTACAGATGAATTAATAATTTTTAATACAGTGACGTTCCGGCATTCGACCAATTTGACGATCAATTAATACAGTAATGCCTGGTTAATTTATACATGACATATACTGTACATAATATGCGTGTAGCATCGTACATAAGCTCGATCATATAAAGTAATGATTGCTGACGCAAATTGGCCTGTCGCAAACAATGTCTAGGCCGCGCTGGAGAACAATATTAATTGCTAATTTAGCATATTTACTAAATCCGATGGAATATCTTTTATGACCTGTCATAAAATTCATTGTTAATCGAAATATAATTGGTTCGTTATTCTATTAATGGAAATTGGGAAATATGTTTTCTATTGTTGTATCTGCAGAATAACAAACGTAAACGCTACGGAGAAATGGCGTTAAATATTACATATTAAAGTTGCTGCTCAATTGGATTTTGACAGATTCAGCGTGAAGTGAAAAAATAAAAATGTCGGAATAGACGTAGAGGAATCATGCACTGGAAATACGAAAACTGAAAAAAAAAACAAGAGAAAGAGGAAGACGAAATAAGTAGAGAAGAAATTAAAAAAGTAATTAAAGATATGAAAAAAAAGAAAGCAGCAAGAGAAGATGAAATACCAAATTAAGCATGGATTTACGGAGAGGATGAGATTATAGAGATAATAAATGACATATCGAAAGGAAACCCATAATTACCAGAAGAATGAAGGACGGGCATTGTGACACCAAAATACAAAGAAAGACAAGGCAAAAAATTATAGGGGGATTACACTTGTGGACATCATCATCATCATAAGGTCGTCAGTCCTAAGACTGGTTGGACACGCACCTCCACTCTTTCCTATCCTGAACCAAACTTCGCATTTCCCTAAAACTAGAACAGCCCACATCCTTAACTATTTGCGAACAGTATTCCTAATCTAGGTCTACCTCTACCCCTCTTAACTCCTGTTTCTGCCTCTAGTATGTCTCTGACTAGACATTCATGCTTGAGAAGGTGTCCTACCAACCTATCTCGCCTATTTTATCATAGAGTCCTCTGTTCTCCTATTCTTTCCAATACCTCTT